CTGACGTATGGTGAGAGGATAATTGAAAAAGACAGAAAACAGCAAGAGAGCACAGTGGAGATTACCGCACCGATGGATTGAGCTACGGAAATAACAACATTTGACACGGTATCGAATACAGTCATCATCACTTGACAGCAGGAATGAAATAGTTTGTGTGCTGTCTTTTACCAAATTACCACCAGCATCATCTAATTTTAATTCTCCCTTTTAGTAATTTTTAAGAGGAGTACATTAATTAGTTTTTAGTGTTCGAGGATTCGGCTTGCCTCTAGAAGCTACCACCCGTAGCTACTTCAGGTGTTAAGGGATCCACGGTAGTTCTTTTTAAATTATATCCCATATGAATAAATAAACAGTCATGTACCAATAATTTTAAAACTAAAGGAATAACATTTAGTTTTTCATTCCATTCTATAGGAATTTAGATGCCTGTAGCGTCTTGACGGTCAGTCGAGGTGGACAGAAAACCAGGTAATGAAAATTGAGTGGAAGGTGGGGATGAAAATCCCTCCTTGAATGCCCTCGGTGTAAAGACGAAAGATACTGTAGATTTCACAATAAATATACACACTAGCGGAAATGACTTTTTGCCTTCAGACACGAGGAGGAAAAACAACCAAATCCAGTACATGCTTCACACTGCAACCACCCTCTCCCCTTCAAATGACACCTAAAAGCGAACACATTTCTGGACTGTCCACAAATCGGATCACCTTTGTCGCCAATGACAACTTAGACGTCTGACACTCGCCGCGCTGGGGAGGAAACAGTCGTAGAGACATTTATCGCTTGTCCGAAAAATGCATTTCTGGATGCATGTTTTGAATACTCCATGGTCATATTTGCCTGTAGCCCCGCGCCCCCCCTTCCACCTCTTTTCGCCTTTCAAAAGGCGTGATTCATCTGTCAGTTTGTGCTGCTTCCTATCTGGTATTTGAAATTCGTCTGTGGATCTGGGTGAACTGTCTGTTATCTCGATTGCATAACACGCCTCTGCTATGGAAAAAAACTTCCCCTTCCTCGGTAGACCCCAATCTCGGTTAAATAACTATTCCTTGTCAATTCTTAAAAAAAAAACTTAACCGCAGAGGCCTAGCGTTGAAGGAAATAATCCAAAAAAGAGGAAAAAATTGATTTACAAGGACCTAGAGATAACTCAGTTGGGGCAAAACTTTCCATTTTATTGCCAAATTTAAAAGTACTTCACCAGCGAAACACGAGAGGAAGGGGGGCGGGGGGATAGAACCAACAGTGCAACAGACGGACAGCGGAACTTTGACCGTGGAGGGTTGTGGACACCTTGGACTTTGGAGTCTAGTCAGAAGTGCACTGCAAGTCTGTCCTCCTCTATTATCACTACGATTTAAAAGGGCAAAGGAAATGGCGTTCATTTCCCACCTGACCTGCTTAAATTGTACAGTCTTCTCTGTAAACGGAGGCGAGGATACACCGATCCGTTTGATGCTTTAAAGGTGGCAAAAAGAAGAGAGAGAGGGTGTGCCTTGGGGGTAGGAGTGAAAATTTTGGTGAACCAGACTGGGTATGTCTCCATGCTCCTTGATCTGTTCGAGGGTGTGTATGTGCGTGGATTTGTAAACACCACTGAAAGGAGGCATATGTTGTCTTTGGCCCCCGTTGAGACACAGTGGGCAAAGTTCACGACGAGGAATTTTAGAAACGCATCAACTAGATTATTATTAATTTAGACTACTTTGTTTCTTATAACCACCATCTCCACCTCCACTGCCACTATCAGAGGTCTTCTGCGCCTTGGTGGCTTTTGTATTGCCTTCGTGCTCCTTTCCAAATTGGACAATAATGCTAGCGCAAAGGTAATAGTTAGTGGACCTATTATTTTTAAGGACGGGAGTGGTGGGAAAGTTAAATCCAGTCACAATGACGTAA